GCCTTAGGATTTAATCTCCCACCTGCATTGAGATTAGTAGTAGGACTACTAGGTTCAACACTTCCTTCTACCATAACCAATTGGTTATTGTTCTCCTCATCATCATCCTGAACCTCTAACATTGCAAACTTGTTAGAGGTTTGGATTTGCTGATTATTAACTACACCTGCAAGGGCCATCTCCTTCCTTGTATTAACATCATTCTGTTGCAATTGCCCAGTAGTTATGACTATTTCATTCCTTGTGTGACCTTGATCTTGTTGGACCTGCCCAAAAATCGGCACAATCTCCCTTCCAGAAATCTCAGTAGCTCGATGAACACCTTCAGTAGTTTGAACCTGTTGCACACTGTTAGAAACCACTGGAACAATTTCCTTACCAGTTTGACCTTGTACTACATTTTTCTGTGCACCATTCTTCACACGATTGTCCCTTACCTCTTTCCATTGTTCTCCAACATTGCCAAATTTAATGGCATATTATTTTTGATCGTTCTTTTAGTTCAGCTGAAAGTTCCTAGTTTTAGGCGCCGCATTTTGGTTGAAAGTCTCATTCTGTTTGACTATTTGAAGGTAACGATATGCATTTTGTTAGCTTGGAGCTCGATGTGCGAGTGGATCTTTTAGTAATAATATGACCTTAAATACTATGAATGAACTACAACAATTAGGATACTTATCTATGACCGCATGCTCATTCCATTGGCATCTAAAATAAAAGGAAGACAAGTAAGGCTTAGACCTATAGAAAGAATAGGAATTGGCATAACTTTAAAATATAACTTTAATAATTCTATTCTTAAAAGATTAATGAATCAATTGTTAAAATAGTTTAACTGTTTAATAGTTTAATTGTTAAAATTATGGTTTTAATAGATTTATGTTTGATAGTTTCAATTGTTAAAATGATATCTTTGAGCTATGGAATTACCTACTAATAGGATGGTTATTTTATTTTGAACTACCTTTTTGATTAATTTCTCCTTTTTACTAACAAATATGTAGCTCTTGCAGTAGCTACAGAAAAGAAAGGAATATTCTTGAATGTCATGGACAATCTTAGAAATAAAAGATGGATGTATTGTGATAGAGTTAGTAAAGAATATTTGGAGGGAGTAGAGAATTTTTTAAATCATGCCTTTTCTGGAAAAAAACCTGGAGAAAAAATTGCATGTCCTTGTACGGAGTGTGTGCTTACCCATCAAGTAAATCGGCTATGATCACCTTGTGGTTAATGGTATTATACCGTCATATGATACTTGGTTTTGTCATGGGGAGTCTCTAAAGGGATCAAACAATGCTGGAGAAAATAACCGAAGCCATTCAACTTTAAGGGGCGATGATATGCGAGGAATGATACATGATGCATTTGTAGATGTTACACAGTTCATGGATACTGACATTAGTGAAAGTGGTGGCATGGATCAAAACGTACAAGAGAATACTGCTCATCCATATGGAAATCAACCTCATCCAGAGGTGGATAAGTTTGAACGGCTCATGAAGGAGGCAAATGAAGAACTGTATCCTGGATGTAAGAAGTTTAGCAAACTGTCTTTTTTGCTGCATATGTATCGCTTAAAATGCACGTTCAAATGGTCAAATGAATCTTTTAATTCTTTGCTTGGACTATTGAAAGATGCGCTTCCTGAAGGAGAAAAATTGCCTCCTTCTTTCTATGAGACCAAAAAGATAGTTGAAGGCTTGGGCTTAAAGTATGAAAAAATTCATGCTTGTCCAACGATTGCATGCTTTTTAGGAAAGAGTTTGCTAATAAGAATGTTAATGAATGCAAAGTTTGTGGGGCTTCTAGATGGAAAAATGATGCTAGAAAAATTCCAGCCAAGGTCCTAAGGTATTTTCCTTTAAAACCAAGGCTACAGAGATTATTTATGTCTTCAGAAACTTCTAAAGCAATGCGATGGCATCATGAAGAGCGCAACAAAGATGGAGTTCTACGGCATCCTGCAGATTCTGAAGCTTGGAAAAATTTTGATTGTAAATATCCCGAATTTGCTGGAGATCCTCGCAATATGCGCCTAGGATTAGCTTCTGATGGGTTTAATCCATTTGGCACAATGCAGACTGTACACAATACATGGCCAGTAATTTTAATGCCATATAATCTTCCACCAATGATGTGCATGAAACAAGAGTTCTTTTTTTTGTCCTTACTTATTCCTGGACCAAAAGCTCCCGGCAATAATATTGATGTCTATTTGCAACCTTTAATAGAAGAGTTAAATAAATTATGGGATGTTGGGATAGAAACATATGATGCCTTTGCTAAGGAGATATTTCAAATGCGAGCAGCTCTCATGTGGACTATAAATGATTTTCCAGCATATGGTACTCTGTCTGGATGGTGCACTTATGGTCGGTTTGCATGTCCTTCTTGTAACATAAACACTCAATCCATAAGGCTCACACACGGCAGAAAGTTTTGTTACATGGGGCATCGACACTTCTTGAAGTTGGGACACAAATATCGAAATGATGCAAAATCGTTTGATGGTACTAAAGAAACAAGACCTGCACCTTGTCCAGTATCTGGGGCACTAGTGTTGAATCAAGTTAAAGATATAAAATTTACTCTCGGCCAGTCGAGTGAAGGGGTAAGTGGAGTGATGAAAAACACATGGAGAAAGAGGAGTATTTTTTTCGATCTTCCTTATTGGAAGTCTAACTTGGTGCGCCATAATCTTGATGTGATGCACATAGAAAAGAATGTATGTGATAACTTAATTTATACATTATTGGATCTTGGTAAAAAGACTAAAGATAACTTAGAAGCTCGATTGGACTTGAAGGAGATGAAAATAAGACCAAGTTTATGGCCTCAATATCGAGCTAGTGGGAGAGCATATCTTCCTCCTACTTTTTTCACAATGTCTCAAAAGGAAAAGGAGTTATTTTATGAAGTACTACAAAATGCCAAGTTTCCATATGGCTATGCGTCTAATATCTCACGTTGCATTCGCAAACGAAAGATATTTGGGTTAAAAACTCATGATTGTCATGTTATAATGCAAGAACTTCTTCCTTTTGCCTTGCGGAGATCAGTAGATAAAAGAGTTAGTTCCATTTTAATTGAACTATGTACATTCTTTCGTGTTCTGTGTAGCAAAGAACTAAAAGTAGAAGAGTTAAAGTTACTTGAAGAAAAAATTCCAGAAACATTGTCTACTATGGAGAAACTTTTCCTCCCAGGATTCTTTACTGTTATGATACATTTGGTAATTCACTTGGCAACTGAGGCTAAACATGCGGGGCCAGTACATTATCGCTGGATGTACCCAATTGAGAGGTATGAAGAATATCACTGAATCTTTGTTATATATCTTTAGTTGTTAAATATTATAATATCAAACTAATACCATTATTTTATTCCATAGGTATTTGGGTACTTTAAAATCATATGTTCGTAATCGTGCATGTCCAGAAGGTTCGATAGCAGAAGCATACATAGCAAATGAGTGTATGGCATTTTGCTCATGATATTTGGAGGGTGGAGATTCAAGGTCTTATTATTCAAGAAAATACGGTGATGAGATTGAGCATGAGACTAGTAAAGAAGAATGTCTTTTTCCAACTGTCGGGGAGTCGTACGGTGGAGTAGATGTATTTGAGTTGGATGAGAAAATAAGGTTGCAAGCACATCGACATGTGCTTTTCAATTGCGAGTCAGAAGTGGTTGAGAATTATAAAAAGTAAGTGTTATATCTATTATTTAATATATGTATATTACAAAGTTGAAACAAAATAATATATGCGAGTTACATGAATAGGGTACATATTGCAGAAATCAAGAGATTGCATCGTAAGCGTCGTTTGACTCAACATCAACTTGATCGTGTGCATTTCGATACATTTCATGAGTGGTTCAAGAAGCAAGTAAGTAGTAGGACTAAGTCATTGCTTACGTTAAATATTTTCCTGTACAGATATCCACATTTTAAGTGTATCGTTTTATTGGTTAGGTAAAGGATCTTGAAGCCACACCTAACATCTTAAAGGATGTTAAAGTCCTTGCACAAGGGCCGAGTTACATTGCGAAAAGATTTAATGTGTTCGATATAAATAACGGGTATCGGTTTCGAACGAAGCAAAGTGAAGAATTTATGGTGACACAAAATAGTGGTGTTATGGTCGTTTCAAAGACTGAAAGTTATGCAAGTACAAGTGACAATACTCCAAAGTCTGCAAATATCACATATTATGGCAGATTAAATGATATTGTGGAGTTAAACTACTATGAAGAATTTAAGGTTGTCTTATTTAAGTGTGATTGGGTTGATGTAACCAAAGGTAGAGGAGTTAAGGAAGATGACTTGGGTTTCACACTTGTGAATTTCTCACGCCTTACAGACTCTGGCGATCGAGAACGTCATGAGCCCTTTATTTTTGCAGAACAAGCCCAACAAGTAATATTTATACAAGATCCTGAAGATCATGAATGGTTTGTCCCTAGGTTAATTAAACCTCGAGATATTTTTAATATGGGAGAGGAAAATAGTTTGCATTTTGAGTCATCAATGCAGAGTGATGCCATTGACTTTGCTCTCTTAGAAAATACTCCTGTTCCAGAAGACGAGTATAATGATTGTGTAAGAAGTGGTATCGATGGGATAGAAATTGATACAAACGTACATTCTCAAGCTTCTCCAAATGATGGTAAAGCTAGTGTTGAGGGAGGAAATGACAGTAAAAATGAATATGATTCTGAATAAGATAGGTGGAACTTATAGAATATTTTTCTTGCAAGTGTTATTTAAGAACTTCTTGTGATTTTTTTACTGCAGAAATTTGAATAAATATACTTTTTTGCTTTCAGTTTGAGTCATTTTACAGAAGATGCATGTTAGTCAGCTATAGATTTTCCATGTTTGTATTTGTTGATTTGAGTCAATTCTTTGTGCTTTCTTTTGTTTATATTTTGCTGATTGTAGCCATTGTATTGCAATTTGCTAAGGTGTTGTTATCGCTAGACAATAGTTTTTGCTGGTGCATCAATACTTTTTATCTCTTTAACTATCTCTGTCGCAAGGCTTTATTCGTGTGCACGAATTGCTATTCATTTTTTTTCACAGCTTGAGACGAGGACTATGTTTCCTCCTATTTTGCGTGTGACATGCTGATTGGTTGGAGTTAATTTGGTACGAGTATAACTTAATGCATCTAGATAATTTCTTTATTTTGGAAAAGGAACTATGCAAACTAGAGGTCGCAATCGACTGGTAATTGAACAAGATTATGATGAAGATGCGAGACCTTATATTGAGCAATTGATGAATGGTCAAAACTACTCTAGAGCCCAGCCATATATTGAGCAGTTGATGGATAGTCAGAATTACTCTAACGCCCAAGCACGTGATGGTCAATCTAATGAGTTGAATAGTTCTGATGGTGGCACTGAAATTCCAAATGATGACGATTCAGGTAATGTTTCTATAGTATTGCGATCTGATAATGTATAATATTAGATTATGGCTTTCAACACTCTTTATACTTGTTTCCTTGTAATGGTTGCACATCATAAATGCTTATTGCATAGTGATATTTGATTTACTTGGTGCTTTCTTTGACCATTAGAGGTTTTATTGATTTTGAAGTGCTGAGATTCGTGTGTCTTGAAGTTGTCATCTGCTGTTGCCAGTGGTTGGATCCATTCTTATGATGTTACATTACAAACATACATTAAATTATAGCTCCACATTACAGTCATGTTCCCCGTTTTTGATTGCCAAAAGTTCCATTCAGCTTGGATAGGGACAAAATTTCTGGACAGATTCTGCTTGCCTATATTATGATGTAGTTGCTGTTCGTGTGACCTCCTGTTGTTTTGTGTGTTATCAATTGCTTGGCACCTTACTTGGTCTGTGTTATCAATTCCACAGTTGTACAATGGCTTTCATTTTGTACTGTAGCATTCATAACAGAATTTCAGTTCATTCTCTCTTCTCTCTTCGATTCTAGATTCTTCATTTTGATTGCATGTTGCGAAGGAATTCATCAATTTGAGCACAACGTATTGTATAGAGAAAGAAAAGATTGGAGCAGTATTCTTAATTCTTTCAATAGATTCCAATTTCCAAACATAAAAATTGAAAAGTGCATGTACCAATACATTGCAAGACTATTTGGTTGATTATGCAATGCTGGGGAACCTCCACAAATAAAGCTTATTAAGACATACTCCTGTGCCACAGAACCAAGAAGCAGTGATACAACACTGCTGCTACCACCCACTACTGACATTGATTTCAAATCCATTCAGAACATTCTATCAGCATATTCTCTGATATTTCTTACGCATATGAAAGTGGAATTCTCTGTGTTTCCGGGCCAGCTGCCATATCTTCCCAAAGTAAATCCGAGAGTGCCATTGTCAGTTCTCCAACTTCCCCTATCACAATAAATAATGTTTTCTTCTCTCCTATGCTTACTAGTTGCAAATTAACGATATCCAGCCAACTTTAATACAAATGGGGTGGACATAAACTAGAAAGGCACACCAACATTTCCAGTTTCCATTTGGTATATTGCATATTAAGCATTTATCATAGCAACCTTGTTATAAAGGAGGTGAGAAAAAAACTAGTCGAGTTGGGATGTAGTAATGTCAAAGTGTGCTATTTAGATCTGCAATCTGTTATAACCAGCATCTTATTTAGATCTGATCCTTGAACAACAATCTGTGAGTTATCACCATTAAATTTTGTTGATTCCAAACCCTTTCCATCTGCAATCTGCTTGCAGTCACACAATCACTTCCATTAGGAGCAGGTGAAACATTGGCAACGTCGACTAGAACTGTAGCATGCGTAAAAACAACTGTTTTATTTAGTGGCTTAATGACATCTGATCCTTGACCAACAACATGAGATTTTACACCTTTGTCTTCTGTTAATTCCAAGCCTTTTCCAATAGCACGATACACAGAAGCATTAGCGATAGTCATCAGATTCACTATAGCACTAGTTTTATGATTCCCGGGTTGCAAATTCAAAGTCTGTTGTTGCCTACAAACCTGCATAACAACAGCTATATTCTCCACTCGATCAGTGATAGCCTTAGGGACAACTTTAATATTTTGACCAGCTCCTTTACCATCTGCAGCAGCTTCACTATGTATTGCATCCGCTGGAGGTATGTTATTCAAAACTCACTAAATAGCTATTGTACTACCTAACGTTCCGTTCTCTTTTTCATTCTAGGTAATTCAGAAGCAAAAAGGTTCGTGGGCCTTCTTTACTAAAAGAGATTTGGAAACTTCCGCCGGGGAAGACAATTGATGTGCCCTTTAATAATCGTAACCAAGGGAAAGAGGGTTGAAAGCTTCCTAGCTTTCTAGGAATTATTGCCAGAACTCCAGAACTAACGCCTCTACATATAGATGATTGGGGAAATTTTGACAACGAAGAAAAGAAGAAATTGGTGGATTTTGCGAGGGTATGGAATATTTGTTGTTGTTATTATTATTATTTATTTTTATTTTTCCGTGAACATGCTCTATCTTTTATACATGATGTTATCTTATAAATATTGGCTTTTATTTTTGTAGTAGAAGTTCTCTATCCCAAAACGTGGAGAGGCGTGGGTCTTAAAGTCACTAGGGAAAAAATGGAAAGATTACAAGTGCAGTTTGAATGGTGAGTATGCGCAAAAATATAAGACTAAAGATGCTTTACTAAAAAATAGACCAAGTCGTATACCGAGGGATCAATGGAGTGGTCTTGTCTCGTATTGGCTTTCCGATAAAGCTAAGGTATCAACCTTGAAAATTCTCCTAGTCTGCTTATTTTCATAGCGTTTTAATTTTAGGTATGCTCAATTTTTGTTTAAAGTTTATAATATATCATTTTAATATTTCAATGACAGAGACATACCCTAGCAAATAGAAACAATAGGTCCAAGCAAACGATGCCTCACACAGGAGGATCAAAAAGTATTGCAACCTTGATGAATGAGCAGGTAAACCTGTGAATACTACAAACTATAATATTTTAACCTTTTTTTTGTCATGCAAACATATATGATATCATTTTTATTTTATTAGGATGTAAACGGGATAGAGCCTACGCGAGCAGAAATTTTCCTATTAACTCATATAAAACGTAAGGATGGTAGGCCACTAGATGATGATTCTGTCAAGACAATCGTAAGATTTATTCATTCTTTATTTTTTTGGTTTCATGACTCTGTCAAACAATGTGCATTTTTTCCTATTTATGAATTCCAAAGTGGATTTATTGTGTATTCTATGGTCAGGAAATGATAAATGAAAAAATGAGCAATAGTGAGAGATCTACTGAGCAACCTCCTCGTAGTGTTGCTTGGGAAGGCGATGTGTATTCCCAGGTGTTGGGAAATGAAAAAAGTGGGTATGTTCGTGGTTTAGGGCTTGGTCCAACTCCTTCTGTTCTATGGGGTAGTAGGTCTTCCTTAGGAAATATTGCTGCAGATGATTCTTCTAATGAGGTTATACAAAGGTTAGAACAACAGATAATCGAGTTAAAGGAGAAACAAAATAATGAAATGAATATTATGGAACAAAATCAGGAGAATATGCAATCAGAATTACTCCAAATGAGACAATTAATGCGCAAATATGCTCCTAATACATCTATGCCTCAAAGCAGCAATGGCACCTTGGGTGAACAGGTAACTCCATTTAATAAACTTTAGATATTTTAATTGAAATTCTAGTCATATAAAAGTATTGTTCTTTAACATGTTAGTATTTACTAGATCCCCGATGCCAATAGTGGACATGAACGAGTACCACAAACATCAAGAATGCACAGTGTTACTGAAATTGCTCAACCTTCTCATGGTACTACTCATCTTTGTCCTTCGTTGCTACTATTTGAGTTTTCCTCCTTCGATTTTTATTAATTTGTTGTTGTATTTGGGCTTATAATTCATGTCACATGCATTTTGTTCATAGAACAGTGGAGGAGTCAATTCCCTAACTAATTCTAGTACTCATCAGACTGTTTAATGCTTTAGTAGGTAGTTGTTGAGTTTAATTCTTCCGCCCCAAAAGCTACTAGCTACTCTATTTCTAGCTTTGCTCCTATGACTCCTCAAAAAGTTGATATGTCATTGTTAAAGATGATAGTGTTCCATTATTTTTGAGTTGGTTTGGTTCTTGTATAGTTGCTTCAGTTGCATGACTTAGCTGAATGGTTTAAGAGTGCTCGGACACTGCACAACTGGTTTGCTTCATATGAATTAATATCACAAAGTGTCAGCTAGATAGGGCCTCTGTTTGCTGAATTCAATTTTTGTTTCTGTTGGATGTTTCTGCCCAGTTTTTGCGCTTCTAAACAATCTAATGTTCAGCTAATGTTCAGATGGGTAGTATCCTGTCTTATGCTTCGAGTTGTTGTATGGCTCCTTAGGTTACTGGTTTATCCTCAGCCAGCAATTCCAGCCACCATCAGTAGTGAATTTCTTTTAGAGCTTATCCGAGGAACCCAAATGGACTGAAATAACCATGCCAAAGAAAAAAAAGGCTAGTCAACTATGCCTTCTAATAGAAATGACGGTGTAGTCAACTCCCTACCGAGAAAGGAGATGGTATAGATCACTAGTGAAGAAACTTATCCTCCTTGCCAAGGGCCAGCCAACCTGACCTTTCTATTTGACATCTTGCAGAGCTAAATCATAGAGTTTGAATGAATAAAAGGGGAAAAACTATCAACCTTATACAGTCAAGAACTGA